CCCCAAAACCCCAAAACCCCAAAACCCCATTTGCTTAATAACTAAAACATAGGTCAAAATGATAAAGTCCTAAAAGTATTACTTGATAATTTTTAATATCTTATCTAATTAAATAAAAACATATCTTTAAATAGAGAATGAGTGAAGAAGAGCTTAAGAATTCTGAACAAAGCAATTAAAATAATTCAGAGTCATAGGAAACATAAAAAGTAAGAGAAAGACCAGATCTCAATAAATTACTATACTTGCAATATGTTGATGGATCTAGATCAACATTTAGAGTTGGAACAGAGGATGCTAGTTGCTTAGCAGTTGCTGCAAGCAGCTTTACTTGGTCTCACACAGACAACCCTGAATATTGGGCTCTGGAAGAAATTGAAAATTCTCTATTTAAAAGTGCTCTCTACAGGTGCAAGTATGTGTGGTGGTTTAATCCAGAGTTAGTTGTTGAGGGTATACTCACTGGTGCTTATCACATATATATTAGACATGGAAACACTTATTTGAGCTCTCCAAAAATAAAAGTGTACTAAGTTAAGGGTGATGACTAGGGTCAGGACTTCAAAGGTTGGATTCATCCTTTTAGGGAAGAGACAGTTTTTGGCGAGGAAAATAAAGAAATTCTAGTGAATACATATGCAGGCACTATCTATGTTAGTGCATAGGAGCTACCATCTACTATAAAATTGCAAATGTTTTCAAGTGATCAGTGCATCTAAAATTATTTGTTCGAAGGGTTTTTACTAGTACCTACCTTGGATATTGAAACTCCTCCTTCTTATTTCTATCCATTAGATATAGATAGCGGGGCGAATGTTGATTGGGAGAGAAAGGCACAAGCTGTTTATATGGCTAGTTTCTCAACTGATCCAAATCAAGCTTTAATTGAGCAGTTTGAAGACAAGCAAATAAAAATTGTAGGACATATAAGAGGAGAGACAAGCGGACACACCCATGAGGGTCCTGAAAACCTCCTCTAATCAGAAAGCAAATGGTGTGTCACCAATGCTCATCATGCTACAGCATTCATTGACTTAGATGAAGAGATTTCTTTTAGAGCATTTGGCTTGATAAGTGGAAATGATTGCCCTGAAAGAGATCCTAAGTAAGTTGTCTTGTCAGTTATTTTTAATGGTGATGATGAGTACAGAAATATTTTCATAATACACTCACATCTGAAATTTGACTAGAGAAATGAAAAAAGACTTTTTATGGTGAGTAATGAAGGAATAAAAACAAGACACATTAAGATAGAGTTCAAATCAGATCACGAAGTCAATTAATTCTAAATCTCAGAAGTATTATTCTTCAAATGAGAGCTTTCCTCTCTGAACTATTGATATATTTCATTTCATTTCATAATTTGACTCTATTTAATGATTTTAAGCTGGTGGGGTTTTGGGGTTTTGGGGTTTTGGGG